CTACCCAAAGGGACCAATCATTTTCAGCAGCCTGTCAGCTTATTATGCTGAATATTCCTCCCCGCCTGGTAAAAAAAACAAACTGTATGCACCAGACGCAGGTGTAAATCCTAACACATGCTCTGAGAAATGTGTCTTTGATGCTGTACCTGTAACATAAATAAGGATCAAAAGTTGGATGATTCACTTTTTTTATCCCAGCAGTTTACGTAATCTTTTTTTTTGTTATTTCATAAATGGATAAATGTATTTTATAACCTTGGGAATCCAGCAGCACACCAAGAAAACACTAAACATTAGCTGAAAAAAATTTATTTAATGTAATTATTGTGCAATTAAACAGGTATAAATGTACTTAAAGTGCCTGTAAACATTAGTACCCTTATAAAGATTTTCTGGTTAACCACATGACTCTGAGATGACAATTAAGCAGTAATTATTCCTTCAGTTGCAAATATCTCATCTAATTCATTCTGATTTGTCATCTGTACCACGTGTCAGTGTAGTGCAGGGGTCCTTGGTTACAGTTTGCTCTGAGCACCTTGTAGTCTCCACACCCTCCTGATTTCTTTTTCTGTACTGTCCAGCTCCCTGAATACATTAACATCCTTTGTCTGCTCAAAGTGCTGCAACAATCTCTGGAAAACAGTCACTGGGACGCTGAAGTTCAGATGTGGGTAAGTCACTTTAGTGGCCATGTCTCGCGTGTTGCTGGAAACGATCCCTGCAACACAACAAAGAAACATTTTTTTGTGAATTCAAAGCCACAGCAGTGCTGACTGAACCACTGATATAAGCACAGCTGACTTTTCCCTGCACAGAGACGTTTTCTGTGGTTATCATGTGCCCCCCTCTGTTCAAAAGGTGCACATGGCTTTCTTCCTGCAGGACCTCCTTACCCAGCAGCTCTCCTGAGCATCTCTGCACCACAGCACCCCCGCTGGTTCCCGCTTGTACTGCACATGTGGTCTGGAGCATGACAGGCTGGCAATTCCAGCTAATGGCTTTGGACAGGACGCCGCAGGTCAGGGACGGACCGCAGCTCCGACCCAGCCCACCGTATCCGACGACAACTACAGATTCACCTGAAGTTAGAAAAGGCCATAACGGTTTTTAAGCGTAAAGAAGCAGGAACTCTCTTCTGGAACTGCTTATAAAAAAATAACAATAATTCTACTGTTTCTGCTGCACAAGACTGAAATCAAACCTGGAATGAAACTCTGACACATCCGTGAGACCACAGCTTCTGGGACAGCATCTCTGAGCTGCACCAAAGCGAGGTCATAGGGTGAAGATGCTTTAGTGGAAAAAAGGACATCACCCACTGAATCATGGACTCTGAGAAAAGAAAATCGCCAAAAAAGTGAGGATTATTAGTCTTACACATTCTGTGATCACAAAACATACTTCCAAAATGTGGTGAAGTTGCTAAATAAACAGGAAAAGACCATAATCCCATATGGTGTAGATCCATACAGAAAGCAAGTGTGAATTTAACTTTGTCTTTGATGCAGCAAGTCCATGTCAGCTTATAGGACTGTCCATACATTCAGAAGTTTATTACTGCCTATAAATTGCACTCATTTTTTTCCAGGCTGGAATAATAGTACTGAATACATCTTTAATGGCGTTAAAAATCAAGAATTTGATGCACAAGTTTGAATACATTTTTGATTTTCTCTCATCCAAACCAGGTCAATCTGCAGGCAAGTTCCTAGTACTTGTTTATGCTTGTTTTTTTTTCTACCCAAAACTGTGTTAGGTTTGAAAAGAAGACTAAGATTAGTGGATTAACACATTTTAGTGTTTAATAAGGTTTGAATTAATTTCTGCTTCAATTAGGAGGGGGTTTAAGATAGTCAATGTGCCATCACCTGTCCCTATGGTGGAACTTCAAGCGGACTTTAGACTTCCTGTTGACAACATGCCTGCACGTCACAACCAGTCGAGAGCCGACAACAACCCCTGAACCCCAGAACTGCCCGCTGTCCACAAAGCAAACAGTGGGGTATTTAACAGCTTTTGACTCGTGAGCAGCGGTGGACATCTGGATGTCCGACTCTCCTGGATGAAGCCAAACATTTCTGAGGGGATCCTGGACACTCAGGCAGCTGATGAGATTCCTGAAGACCAACTGGGCAGAGCAGACCAGAGTGAGGCCAATCCACTCATTGGCCTTCCAGCCAAATGGAGACACAATCAGCCCGATGAGATGCACGCTGCCTGCACCTTTCACCACAAACAACCCTCCACCTTCTGTGCCTGGCAGGCAGCGGGCGTCTGTGAGGATGACAGCGTTATCTTCTCCAGCAAGGTTACTGATGATGCCTCTGCTGAGGGTGCTGATGAAGAGATCCAAGCAGAGGGAGCCAAAAGGTGAGCCGCAGGCAACAACAGGGCAGCCCTTCTGGAGAGGCGCACTGCTCTGCCAGGGGATGGTGCTTGAATCCTGGCTGCTGTCTAGCACCACACCTATCCTGAGTACAGCAAACCAGCTGAGGAAGTGGAAATCTCTGAGCAGCTCCTCATCCTCATCACAATGGAAACGCCACTGGTCGGCCTCCTGGAAAACTGCCTGGAAAGCGTGTTTAAACTCCACGCAGTTCACCAGCATCAGCAGCTCGGCTGCAGCCTCCCTCTGCCCTGCTGCTGTTTTGCTTCTGGTGGGTGTGATTGTTGCTCTCCGTGCGCTCTGCTTGGTGTCAGTTGGAAAGGTGACGCAGATTTGAAGTTTGGCACTGAAGCTGTGAGGTGGCAAGAAGTCGTGGTCCCAGTAGAGGGGGTCTCCGTCGATGATAAAACGTGAAAACGGGAGTCCGGTGCATATGATGATTCCTGTGCGAGGGTGGACAACAACTCCGCTGCAGCTCACCGGTTTCTTTGCCGAAGACGCCTCTGACACCTTGACAACACAGCAGCGCCTCTCCACGTCCTTTAACTCCATGCTCTAGCAAAGCAAATCAACAAATGTTTTAACGGCGTTTAAAACACTCGAAAAAGCAGCTCATTAAAAATGTGTACATGCCAGGAGTGAGAAGGAACCTTCAGATAAGTCACTGTGACCTTAAGTTTAAACTATTTATCGCAAATATTTCCCACAGTGTCTTCTAACTTCTTCGCCCTGTTCGCAACTTCCTGGTTCTGCTTCGTTCCTGCACCTGATTGGTCTGAAAGCAAACACCTTCTAGCCAATGGTAAACAAGGAAACTAGAGGGCGTTCCTATATCCCGATTAGAAGTTTATTTACGTTTTACGATGTTTTTATGTGTGTTTTTATGTATAATATCTTTGCTGTTATCAGCATATAGGCTGAAGTCAACTGCATTTGATATGGAGTTTTATATAAAATAAATAAAAAAACTTTTTTGCCCGTTTATGACTCTGTGTTCTACAGTGTAATCAATACAGTCCTTTTTGGGTCACTTAAAATATCCTTTCTATTCTATCACACTTGGAAAAGACAAAAACATTTTTAATCGGACTGACCTGATTTGTTTTGCTTTTGTTTGTTTTGTGTGTGTGTTGGGGGGGGGGGTCTTTACCTGGAAATCAAAGGTGAAAGGTGAGGCATTTTTCTCCTCAGGTACTTTTGCAGCCCAAAAGGGGCAGACGACCATCAGAGTATGTGTGAGAGACACTGAGACATGCTAAAATCTAGTTGCAGAAAGGCATTATACAATAAAATAATGTGAATAATACATAAATTTAAGAAATTCTTCCACAATATCATAAGGTTCGGATTTTTGATTTTTAACTGTATTTTCATAGGTTTTACAGCCGTCCCCACTAATAAAGACCTCTTTATTACCAAAGTAATAGAAAAACAATTAACTAACAGAAACCTTGAAGTTCCACCACAGGAACCTTCCATAATTATACAGTATTACGTGTGTAGTTCTTTACACTGACAGAAAGGAGCCTTTCACTGGTCCACCCCACTAAAGCTCAATAAGTTTGACATTCCTGTTCAAGGAGGACTAATAAGTGTTGTGAATGTGAATGGATAAATAGATAGATGGATGTTCCTTTGGTGGATGAACCAAAAATGAATTTAAATATCTTAAACAAGGTTTAAAGAGTTACCAAACATATTTATTTTTGCTAAAATATTGCACAACACACCCAACAAGAACATGACATCTTTTTTGTATGAGATATATCAAGCATTAAGAATGCGAAGTAACAGGCAGGCCAGTTTTTATTGCAAAATATAAATACACTCTTATAAAATATTTTATAATGTTTTAAGATAATTTTATCCAAAAATACTGTATAAGCTTTTTTTGCTAATCACCACCCAAGTACTCTCATAAATCACTGCGTACTGTTAGCAGCAACCAATCACAAAGTACTCAAGTCTTTTCAGTGCAGTCACCTATCGGTGTGTTTGGCTGGCGTAAATATCTAGTATAGGCAAAAAGTCAGTCAGTGCACTTGTGGTAACATTAATGTTAGTGGCCGTGTATGTAAACCTAAATGTAAACCTTAAAATAAACATACTATCACAAGAACTGTCAGCATCCTCCGAGGTAGGCTTGCAAGTTGAGTTTAACAATTACAGCAACACATTTTTGCAGCACTTTCTAGGAAAAAAAAAGTTGTTTTTGAAAACGATCAATTGAAAGAAAAAAAAAACAACAGAATAAATAATGTGCATACGTGCCAACAAAAATGTTTCATCCTCAATCAAAGAAGAGCTGCTCTAAGCACACAGTGTTAACTACACTGACCTTCACTGTAAGCCAACACCAGCAGCCAAAAATACACCCGGGTCTGAAACAAGTTCACAGCCATGGCATGTCCTACACGGCAGAAACAATTCCCTACAGGCTTTAGGTAAAGGTAGAAGAACCACAGCATGGAGCTTTTCTCCACACTCAGTCTGAATAATACAGGCCAATGATTCATAACTTATCTTTGACTTGCTGCGGTACAACTGAGATAAAATACAGGATTCTTCAAACAGATGAATAATGCTGGGCTTTTAAATACAAAACATATTTTGTACTAGCATATTTAATAAAATCTCTCTACTGCAGGTAGTTTTGTGTGGAACAAATCTGGTTAAGGCTATTATAAAAATGTCAATCAATCGATATACTGGGCAAGCCAGCGAAAACCGTCTCCATATCCCTGTCGCTTCAGCACACTGCACATGAACACCTCCATTGGCCTCAAATTCAGCTCCTTCAGCGGCACTTTGCCCTGAAAAGAAACAAAAATACACATCAAAAAGAACAGCTTTAAATCTACAACTCCATCCAGCAACCTTGCCCATGAACACTGAATAAATACAACGCACATCTTAAACTTTAACCGTGCTTTAAGCTCTCAATAAACCGACGCTTAGGTCTTGAACCAGAAATGATGTCTCAGATTTATACAAAAAATTTAACTGCAGTAAAATATCGTTGTGGGGCAGCGGTTTCCTTAAGTCTTTTCTTCTTAGGGTCGATTTGGGCTTGTTGCACAGACAACTAAAAAGAATGCACATACACTAACCAGCCAATTTGTTAGGTATCCCTGAACTGCTCAGTAATCCAAATATCTATATATTTATAATGTGATCACCACTCAATGCATACACTGAGACTGAGCAGGTCATCACCAGATTTTATATTGTTGGCTGGCTGACTGCTGAGTCCACCCATCTGCGATCTGGCTCCTGAAAAGTAAGTGGGTAGCCACTGTGACCACAGTATACCCAGCTTCTGACGGCAGCTTCCAGCAGGATAACACACCATGTCAAATAGCTCGGTCCTATTTATTGAAGTCTTAAAAGCCTAGTAAGAAGACTGTCTCTAAGTACTGTTGCTATGATTGTTTTAGTCTTTCCAACACAGTAACATGTACACACAGTAAGAAATTGATATAGGCATTGTGACATCGCCTTTTCTTTTCTTTTAAGTGCTGTTTTGAAGCCTTCAGTTTGACATTCTGGCTGCCACATCTTGATATTATTATTATTTTTTAAACTGGATTTAACAAGCAAAAGTTAGATTTGACTGCGAAACACTAAGCTGCTACTAGAGCGTAGCCAGCTTTATCTTGTATTTTATTCCAAAAGGGACCATACTTTACAAAAGAACGTCATATTCTATTCAGTAAGTTATGAAATGAGAACTCAGACTGTAAAGACACCAGGAAAGTATTTAGTGAGGTCAAAGATCAAGTGAGCAGCACTTTCTCATATATGTCTATACAATCTGACTGCTTTTTCCCACCAGAGGTGTCGCCTCCTGCTGGCCATTAAAAAGAATGCAGATTTGAAGTACTTTGAACAGGTTTCACTTTTCCAGAGGCTACGTTAACCTTTTAAATACAGTTTATGGTTTAGAAAATATCAACACCATATGACTCTAATGCTCTTGCCAGACGTCACATCATCATTTAATCCCACATTTCTTGTACAAACCTTTCCAGTTGTATGCCCCTGAAGACCAAGTACTGCCCTGAGTGCATCCTCACTGATGGCCTCTGGACGGTCTATCTTATTGCCCAGGATTAGAACGGGGATGTTTGCAATGGTTTCATCTGTTAACATGGCCTACACAAAAGAAGTGTCATATCAGACATATCATACAGATCATTCCTATCAGTGGCAGCTATGGGCAGCTGTCTGTGTTGACATCAGTACAAATAACTCACATCCAGTTCAACTTTTGCTTCTGCTAGTCGCATATGGTCAGCACAATCCACCATGTACACGATACCGTTTATGGCTGGGAAGTAGTTCTTCCAGATCCTTCGTGCTGTAAAGACACACATTTTCAGTATTTTTATGCAACACCTCAACAAATACATCAATAATATTTTAAAAAGCTCAAAAATAAGATTGAGAATCACTTTTTTTTTTACTCCCACCTTGCGTATGACCTCCAAGGTCAAATGTCGTAAAAGTCATTCCAGCTATTGTCAGCTCCTCGGATGCTGGGGAAGAGAGGTTTGATTTTAGGATAAGCAGTGAAGCAAGACACACATGGCTAATTCCTGATGTGACAAGTAAAAATCTACTTGGGTATAGCGTCGGCATGTGCTGTCCCAGCCTGTCATCCCTGAGCATCTGCAGGAGCGTTGTTTTTCCAGCATTGTCTAGTCCAAGAAAAACCATCTTCCCAGTCTTCTTGTACAACCCTGATAGCAGAAAGAAGTCAAATTGATGGGTTTAAAAGAAGTCTTGGGCAGAAGAACTGGAGCCAGAATAGTCATAGAAATATCTGTAAGACATATTTATATGAGAACTGGTTGGTATATGTTTTATAGAAATAGAGCGAATGCCAAAAACAAAGTGAAAATCTGGATATTTGTTAGTATTCAGGCTCGAATTTAGTTCAAAGTGTCTAGTTACTACCTCCAAGTTACCATTTTGTAAAACAACAATATCGGTGCTTTATATCCTCTCAAGGATATTTGAGGGTGCGTGCGTGGGACCAAACTAGTTTACATAGACTTTAGACTGGACTTGGAGACTTGAGACTTGGTATTTAGCTGCTTCTCTCTGGGTTTCCTGTGGTGGGGGCACAGGAGGACTGGGTCCTTGTTGTTACAGGGTCTTCGTATGATGGTTTCCATTGCCAGCTATATGCAGATACTGGACTCCACTAGGGCTGCCCTTTCTTATCAGGTATGTTAATGATTTTTATGGACTTATTTTTATGGGATATCTAGCCAAGGGGTGGAGGGTTTGGTGGTCTCAGGATCTCATCTGAACATAGAGGCATGACCTCCACCTTACTCTGAAGCGGTTTGCAGATGAGTGTGAAGCAGCTGGGACGACACTCAGCTCGAGACTCGGCAGAAATTGGCTTCCTCCGAAAGGTGTCTCAGAGTAGAGCTGCTACACCGCCATATTGAAAAAGGACATTTGGGGTGGTTCAGAAATTTGACCAGAATGTCTCCCAGGTGCGTCCTAGGTGAGGTGTTCAGGGTATGTTCTATCAGGAAACCCAGGGGCAGACCCAGGTTACGCTAAAGAGATTACATTTCTTGTCTGGCTTCAGGCCACCTTAGAGTCCTTTCTGGAAAAGCAGGCGGAAAAGGCAAGAGAGAGGGAGGTCTCTACTTAGCCTACCACACCCACAATTCAGCCTCAGATAAATGGCAAATATTGGATGATAATGGATGAAAATGTGGAAATTTATTTCAACACCTAATAGTTGCAAGACACTGCTGAAGCCCCTGTAGATCCAATCAAATAGAAAAGACATTTCTGATGGCTTCCTGAAAGACAGAAAGCTGAAGTTAATTATGACACATTAAGGACAGTGATGTACATAAGATACCAGTCATAAAGTCTGTAAATGAAAAAAAAGAACCCTTTTTTTTAAACTACTGCAAAAAGCTGTCATCTAGCACTAAAGCGCATTGTTAATCATTATTCTTGACCCTGCGTGGATTACTCTGCTGGTATGTGTAAGCTCCGTGTAATCACACAAGTTTTAAAGCTTGAAAGGAAAGGAGCTAAGCAAGGCAACAAACAGCCTTCAGTGATTTTTCAGACGCTGGTTTGATCTGGGAGCTGTCTCGCTCGCTCACAGTGATCTTCCCCTGACTATTTTTGTGAGGGTTGCGACAACGACACTTGATCTTGGTAGTCTCCCCCTGCCTTCGCTCAATGACACACAAACACCTGTCACTGGGTGAACTTAAAGTGAATAGTGAGGCCTGTGGGCTCTGAGAAATTACCCAATTGTTAATGCCTTTATTATACAATGTTTTCACAGGGTCACTTAAATGTCAGCGTGGCACTTAACTGCTTCATCTGTGGATTTACAGCTGTGGCACTGTAGGCACTGTTCACCAACTTTTTTTTTTGCCGTTTTAGTGATGAAATGACCAAATCAGCACTCCAAAACAAGTAAACACGGCTAAAAGCAGAAATCACCACTAGCTCACTACTCTTTATAAACGCTCGTTCTAGTGAAATCACTACTACTGTCTAGCTTATCACGTGCAGCTCCGCGGTACCGACGTCAGCTTTAATAAACAACGGTAAATTTAATAAACACGAGCGCGCGGAGGGATCCACAGTGTCCAGTCCTCGAACTTTATGATGTCGGCAAATGGTTTCAACAAGCAGTCTTGAATGGAAAAGTTTAAACCCCAACAAAGCCAACTTAATACATCATTTGCAGCGTTACCTTGGTCAGCAGTGTTAGTGAACTGAACTCGTCCGTTGTTGGGTTTTTTTTCCTTCTCAAAGCCTCCAACTTTGACAGTTAACCGGAAGTACGTCACCGGGATGGCTACC